AGGGAAAGGTGTCAGGAGTAGTAATTCGTTTATTGAAAGAAATAAGGAGGATTAAATAATATGTACAAAAGATGCTCATTGATACACCGGGCCTCTGCCAATCATGTGCTAGTATTTCTGGTGTCCTTCTGCTTCTGTCTTGGACACACGGGTTCTCATTGGCTGGATGGGCCTACTGCATGTAGTCCAGAAGCTGCGGCATCCCCGCGCTTTGCTAACGTCACCCGTGAAGTTTGATTGATCACAATTTTCCAGAAACTGTAACACGTCGCTGCAGGGTATGCGTCGCTTCGCAAGCTGGGTTCGCCACATTTATTCACGTCGAATTCTTTCCATCAGTGATTTTGAGTGAATGTAATGAGAAATTAGCATTTGATGTGCTTTAAAACTAAATTTGATCTTCTAGTCACTGTGTTTAAATATCAAGTGGAAAGGAGCCAGGTGAACATCCGATTGAACTGAACGTTCTTGAATATGATCAAAACCACCACATGAATCTATCTCAATTGGCATTGTACTTGGGCTTCGATACATCAAACCATTATTAGACTTGGCACTTTTTGAGATCGATCCTTTAGAGCAGACCGGTGGATATGATTCGGTCATAGAAGAAAGTAGAATAACGCGACAATACAAACCGATAAATATCTCCCGATGGTATGACTTCAAAACTGTTCCTTTTTGCATAGGGTTGGAATGGAGCGGAGACTACAAGAAGAGTCATCACTGATACACCTCATAATTTCCTGTTCGTAAATTCGGTTCAATTCAGTAACGAAAAGTTTTAACCTTACAGTTTTCATAAAGCGGTTTTGGTTTTGGTCTTTTGGCTGCCTATTTAGATGACGAAGTAGAGGAAATGATTGCAAACCTGACATTCGAACCAGCATAAAGATACAGGCTACAGTTAGATTCAGTTGAGTAGATACATGAGCGCTACTGTTGAAGATACGGCCATATCACTTAGTGCTTCTGACTATCAATTAGACTCATCCCGAAATATTTAAACAGGGTGTCTAAGATGACATAGATGACCAAGAACCCATGAATAGTGGTTTTATACCCTTAAACCAGGTCTCAGTTTGATCTTCATTTGTTCAATACCAGCCTCGGCAAAGATCGCACGCCGAGTGGGTGTAGTAGCGGTGGTATGCACCGATCACGAAGTACAAATCTCGAATTAGAAATCACGGACCCAAGGTAATCACTGGATCATACTGGTACTTGCGCACAGTTTCCCACGGAACCGAGACGCGAGGAGAAGGACACAGAAATGGCAGTTCGTTTATTGAAAGAGATTAGGGGGATTAAATAACACGTACAAAACAAGTTCATTGGTCATTGTCAATGGCGTGCTAGTACTTATGGTGTTCTTCAGCTTCTGCCTGAGCCTCACGGTTTCTGATTGGCTGGTACAATCGACCTGTGGTCTGTAGTTCAGAAGCTGTGACACGCACGCACATTACTGACGTCACCTGGGAAGCTTGATTCATTACAGTTGTCCGCAAACTGAAACGTGCCGCTCCGTGGTATGCGTCATCTCGTAGGCCAGAATCGCCATAGTGAGGCATGCGTAAAGTCACCTTCATCTATGCAGATGGTACACTTGCTCCAGTACAAGAACCTGATTAGCTAATCTACTTCGCCTAAACTCGTCATTGCTTGTACAATTATCCCATCAGACTTGAGCAATGAGCAGCAGACAGGTTTGATCTGTCTTATTCCTGTTTCCAGTATGACCACTTCTCCGCACCAAACAACAGAACAAAATGGACAACTACAGCATACACTCCAGGGTTCATGGATAACTGAATGTCTATGCGAATTCACGTTTGCTGAAACACATCACCTGGTTGTTCCTATTATGGATATTTTCATTCGCTTGCAAGTCAGATTGGGCCAAATATTTTAACCTGGTTCCATTTCAGTAAAAAAAATCATACGAGTATCGACGAGGATCGTTATTGAAAAAATTATCCTTAAATAACACCATATTTCGCGACTATCCGGGAGATCATTTAACGGAGGCTACAGAAAACAAAACAAAGTGGCCTTGTAGTTCAGCTGGAGGAGCGTGCGTTATAACAAAAGCGTAGGCGGTGTCCTGTATGGGATCGAACTCCACCGAGGCTACTGAGCTACCTAAATACGAAAATTTAACCTATCAAACTACAATTTGAACGGGAAAGATTGGAAACATTTCTCCACTTCTGGTCAACTAGTGTATATATGCAATATGCAGCCTATGGTGTGGTGTTTTTGCAGTACGGCCGATAGTTTAGTTTCCTACCGCACCAACACCGGTCTTCTCAATTTCCAACTATGTTGCCCCCTTCTTTTTGCATTATCATTTCTGTCAGATAGAAATATTCATTGCTCCCTCATATGATTGACAATACAATCAGGTTCGTATTGGTGTTGGACTAATTCACCTCTTTTGGGTGTCTCTTTAAAGGGCTATTAGATACGTATAGAATAATTTGTGAAATGGTCAAGCTTCTCAGATGACGTCCATAGTAGGTGTTGCACCAGAGTCATGCCTAAAATGAGTTTCACCTATGTTTAAACGACCGTAAGAACATGAACAGCAGGAAAATCACAATAAGTCATTTCTGTTATTTACCTGTTCAAATAGTTCTAACTGCTCTTCAATGAATTCCGCATGATAAACTGCAGACATTTCGTGGACTTCACCGGACATTCTACGAAGGATATTTTCCACCAACTGTGCTAACCGAGGAAAGCTGTTTCTTAACTTTCACTCCTCTAATCGCAGTTCTTAAGCGTTTTGAAAAACTGACTGGTTGGGGCACGTCACCAGATTAGCTTCCTCGTTGTCCGATGTTTGCCGTGGCAACTGATCGTTAGACCAGGCTCGAGGTATGATATCACGTACTATTAGAATCGGTCATGTAGGCTGCGTTAGATTGGCAGGATCAGTTTTACTGATGTGTCTAACTGTCTTAAACGGCGCACAGCTGAAACCTTCTGTCGGACAAAACTACACTCAAAAGAAAAAAGATCACGCGCGATTAGAATCCGATTTACGTTAAGGGTGCCTAATACACCCTGTCACCCAATCGAGCCAACGGACTTCTCGATCACACTACTCCAAAGCCAATTCTATGTATGAGATCAGATTTCTCCTCTATTGGGTGACCTAATCAACCTTGACTGATGTTTTCAGTTTTTACAACCATTAACCATGCACTTTCGTGCGCCGGTTTTGGTTGCTGTCTTGACTGATGGGTAAGATTATAACTCCGAATATCAGTAAGACTATTCCAGCGGATGATTTAAAGGACAAATCCCAGGAGCGCATTCCGTAGGTTTCCTAGAACTGTTACGGAAATATGAACCTTGGGGGCACGGCCCATGAACCCCAGTCATCTTTATTACTTCCTCAAGCTGAGTCTTGGTCTCAAAAAATTGATTAGGTTCCCCAAAAGTAGATCTATCCCTGGTCATTCTTAATTCTATGGGACTATCCGTGATTTCTCAAGACATATTCGTCTAATGTATTGCTTGCCACACACTCTGGCGTCAGATGCGCGTGATATATATA